AGATCTGTAAGGTTTGTCTCAGAGATAGTAATTGTAATTAAAATGAATTCCAATTATGTAATTGGCAGGAGTTAACAGCTAAAATCAGTTGAATGTACGACATAATATTTGCCATTTGTTGTTCATTTACTTATAAGATGCCATTCACATCTTAAATAAAATAATTTTACTTGCTTTAAGCTACAAATGTGATATATGGTTTATACATGTAACATAATCATAAATTAACTACAGTTACTGTAATAAAATGTGTATATCATAAACCTTACTAGTGTCGTTCTTAACCGTCAATTGATAGCGTGTTTCGTTCTGCTCGTAATTTAAAAAATTCAAATTCGCGATTGTGAAAGGGCAATTGCAACTTCTCGGGCCTTTTAATAATAGCCGATCATTCCGACTGGTATGAGGAAAAGTGAAATGTCGCGATATGTACAATAGCAAACTGGAGAATTTCGCAATGCAAACATATTTGAAGTTATCTTATCCGTCAATAAATTTGGGGAATTGTGTATGTTACTGCTGTACCTATGAATAGAATGATGACCTTAACATTGTCTATTTATAGAAGTAGTTTTAGTTTAACGAAACGGTCATTCGTGTCGCGCTATAGTAATAAATAACGAACAAGAGAATTTGGAGAAACATATTCAAGCAATTACTTGCACTCTTTTTAAATCTATAGAAAATATCTACGTAGGCCATTTTTACGAAATGTTATATTTTGAAATTGTCGTCTCCATAGGTCTCTCCGGTTTTCTTTTTTAAGGCCTAGATTGCACTTATGACATTTTTACCGTGAATATTTAAAAAGACCTAGTTCATAACTTTAAATGCCGCTTTTATGTTGACATTGTGCGACAGTTAACAGGTCTAGCAGTAGTATAATATAAAACCTATTCGCTGTTCAAGTCTCTTTATTAGGTAACTATTCTATATTTCGTTTGAAGGCTATCGATTTTATTGTAGTTTGAGTGGAATGTTCATTCGCCGAATATTGTGGCATTTTAACTACAGAAATTTTGTTCTGCAATTTTAACATGAGTTGTTTTGGGTTGATTGATAGCAATGTAAACACCCAGGTGGGTCAGACGAGGTTTCTGAAGTAATTCATTAAAATAGTAAATTGACCTCCCAATAAATCAATTAACAGACTTTGTTCATTTTGACTACTATTTTGTATGTTCCAAAGAAAATACCACGTGAACTTGAAATTCTGTCAAATAACCAATATTAATAATATCTAAAAATACCCTCTCTACAATATAAATAAACTTATACCATATAGGGGGTATATTTTGGATAATATATACGTATATATTTGGATATTATGGTTAATATTGATAGAATTTCAAGTTCCTGTGGAAAAAAACATTTAATATTCTAATCTCTAGCATGCCTACCAAAGTTCATGATAAACAATGTCGTTTTCTGCCCATTCATAAATGATATACAATTCTGGTAAAAACCAATTAACCATTGAAAAGTTTATAAGAATATCTGGTCATCAGATGTCTACTAGTTCATGCATGCTTGGACGCCTTTTGATGCTTTGCATCAATGCTTTTCTTGTAATCAATTTGTATGAAAATAATTTTTAAGCAGAATACCTCCAGATTCATGCTAATTTTCGTGATTTTTAAAATATATTTAAGAGTAAACATTGTCAAGTTGCCTGAGAAAGTAATTTACATATTGCAATCGGCATTAGAAAATTACTACAAAAATTTCCAAAAATATGCCAGAATATGCAAAAGTAGCCCTTACTGCGAATCAAATCACGCGGCAGAAAATTGTTGATGAAAAACTGAGAAATCAGTCATTAATTACATAAAACATAAATAATTTTTTGAATTGTGAAAATATTTTTTACATTTTTCAGCATTTTAGTACATTTTTCTCAAGGCAATTTCTAAAATATTTTGGTCCACCTGCAGAAATGCAGCTTTAAATACAGAGACATTAAGCGGCCTTTTCTCAAGGACGTTTTGTCAGTCAAATGATTTGGTCAAAGACATTTTCTGACAACTGACAAACGGAGCATGAATGGCATCATCTAATCGAACTATACATCATGACAAGGTGACATTCTCTATATAAGTTAGATAATAGAAACGCCAGAACACAATCATCAAAAGTGGACTTCAAGCAGAAAGGAAGCAAAATCTGCTTACTATAGACTTTTCCCAAGACATTTCTCTTTTGTATAATATACTGTTATAATCGATGACGATAAATTTAGACTGAGTACATTATGTGTCGTTTTATTACAGTGCAGTGAGGTGGATATCTTATACATATAAAACACATAAATTTATAATACTGCAAATTTGTTACGTCGTTAGAGGAATTTTGGCTATGATATAAACTTTATACACGGCAGCTGTCAATAAAATAAGTAACTTCTTTCATCCTCTATATTCCTCTCTCCCGATAATAAAGAAAGTTTGCTATATTTTAAATTCGTTAAAATATTCTTAAGCGGTTATATGGTTCTATATATATGTCGTATATAAACCGTTGTTTGCAATATTACCATCGACTAACGGCTCGTGTAATAGTAGCAAAGAACTTTTATATAGGGTCCTATAAAATATCTTTATAACATATAATATAATAACAGAATACATAAGTCAGCTTTATTATCTAAATACAAACATGCAAATGATCACCTTTTTACCTTTCGAAACTTTATAAAAATAAACTATTTTACTATCTATATATATCAACCTCCGACGTTTCGAGGGGTTAAACCCCTCATTTTCAAGAACTTTGCTGTTTAGTATATACAGCATATATTTATCTTCAGTCTTATCTGATACTATGTTGAGTATAACGTCTCGAAACGTTGGAGGTTGGCATAGATAGTTATTTTTTAATTGCTTCCATAGTGATTTAAAAAAAATGTCTACGACTAGCACAAACTGGTCGAATCCAAGAATCTAATTACCAATAAAAACAAAGTGTTGTCAAATTTATCCCGTTTGAATAGATTTATTCGATATCTTAAATATCTAATACTAAAAACTGCCTGCTCATTATGTCATAATGGTCAAAGAACTACTCGCTATTTCCTCTCAACCTGGAACTATTACATTCAATGACAAAAAAAAAAATTCTTGCACCAAAATGACTGGGAATTCTTATGAACAAATATTTTTGCCTTGAAGCTACCAACTCTTATTCCATGAGAAATTTAATTCCAGCAACAAGCACACTCCTCATTCTGAGTTAATTTCGATTTTTCTCATTCAATAAGTTCTCATCGGAAATTCATTTTCCCGCAGATTTCTCAGAAGGCTTCGAAGGAAATGATAAAGAAAACTACAACATGAAATGTTTCTGTCCTTTTTTCCTCTCTGCAAATATATTGATGATGATAAAAGATATGCGTGTTTGTTAAAAATAACATATTTTAGAAACTGCGCAGCATTACTGATATTAACATATAGGGTTGTCGAAAATATAGGTTTAGAAGTCACTGTGTGTATTTACATTTGTTTATAAGAGTCATTTACCAGTGTTCACAATTAAAATACATATAAAATACAATATGGATGCACATTGCCAATCTGTAAGATTGATAAGAGACTAAAAAGTAGAAACACACAAAAAAAAACACAAAAAAACTACACGAGTTGCGAATATGTGTTAAAAGGAAACTACTTATTGAAAAATAAATTAAAATATTACAAGGTACCTTAAATATGAAATAAACAAAAAAATGTAGTCATATTAAATCAAAACAAATTAAGGAGATATTTCCTTTATAAAAAACACACACAAATTTATTTCAAATAAATGTTTGTTGTATAAAATTAGTTATTTTATTCAGTATGTTAAACCTGTGTATGCTTATATTAATGATATTGGTGTGAATGATATTGATACAATAATGACAACCCTTTCATAACTAGAAGATTTGATTGTTTAACGTCATCGTCAGTTATAATTTAAATTTATATTGATATAATTTGATAACTTTCTTTCTCAATATGTATGGTTGAAAGCTTAAGTCGACGTTACAGGAGCGCAATATTCTATGCACGTGCCGCCGAAAATCATGCGCCGGTTGGCATACGTAGTCTGTAAACCTAACCGGAAATGTTGTGTAATAAAACAGCAATCCTTCAGCTTTGTTTTAGTGTTTATGCTATGTTATGTTTATGAAAATATCTTTCTTGTGTAATGTAATACGTGATTTAAGCTAACCTAAGACTTTACTTGGGAAAACTTCTCTTTTTTCCCGTTAGTAACGTTGAAGAATTGTAGTGACAAAAATAATAAACTCGGTCATATTACGCATATTATACATTTAACATTCCACATGAATTGTGAATATTTATGCATGTTTTAAACTATAAATATATATTTTTCTCAAGATGGTCAACCACTTAAAACGGAAAATATAATAAATCAATGTGAAAAGGGAAGATTTATGTGCTAATAAAAAACCCGTGTCGTCTGAACATGAACAGCACTGTTCGCTTGACAGTCATATTTTGAAATGTTCCCCAATAATAATAATAATAATAATAATAATAATAATAATAATAATAATAATGATAATAATAAAAATAATAATAATAATAATGATAATAATAATAATAACATCATAATCTGAATAGTTTCTTTTTTGAAATTTCATTAAAATATTCAAAACGGCTACATTTCCTTTTAACTACTAGTACTGTTCATAAACTTTAACTTATTTGCATAGTCACGTGATTTAAATCACACTTATATCTAGCCAACCACGGCTAGCAATCATGCACACTTATATAAAGTGTTTTACTTTCATTAATTACATATATGAATAGAAAAAAAAACATTGTTTTTTTTATAAAGAATTAAAGTAGCTATCAATTTTTATATTGTTCTACCCTACATTGTATTCAATGTCATTACAACTTGTGACGTATGATTGTGTGAAAACTGATAACCCGCTAAATCATCGTATCTTGAGAGGGTTTTAATCTTATTTACACACACACACCATGTTGACACAGACTGACCTACATTGATAGTACAATCACTGGCTATAGTGAACTATCTAACGCTGAAATTTGTTTAAAGTTACACGACTTTACCGCTAACAGTGTCTCCCTATTATCTTTATACTTAAATTGTACAAAGTAAACTGTATCAACATACAGTTTTCTGCTGAGTGACATAGGAATACCTTTTTCTTTTATAAAGTAAGAAAAGGTAAGTTATTTTCTACATTTACTTTAGCTATAATAATATATGGTGAACGCATTTATTGCGCAAAATTTAGAATGAGTGACTGTTCGGTAACTGTTTGATAAGTATTTGGTAACTGTTTGCCCTTTACAAGCGGATATTCTGGTATTTTAAATGCTTATTGAATATTTGCGAACACGTTTCAGTAGCAATGTTTTACAACGATATGTTTTTAATATGTTTGAATGAAGTTTAAGGTAAATGTAATACATTCATCAAATATAAACTTTCAAACTAGTTCACTGAGACCATTTTTTTTCTATAAATTTTTTATAAGAATAATATCACAATAATTAATTTATATTGTTTATATCAGTATTTTAAAGTTTTACAATAAATGTGCCCATTGTAGACCACGCCGCTTTAACATATCAATTATTATTATAATCATCATCATCATTATTATTTTATTATTATTATTATCATCATCATTATCATCATCATTATTTTCATCATTATTATTATTATTATTAATATTATAAATATCTAGCTTGTTCTGAACGCAATGCACATAGGAACAGCTGATTTCTACTAATTGTCCCGTTACACTGCCATAGAAAGCCTGATTTAATAAAATAAAGAATAAACATGCAGAAGAACCAACATTAGTTGGATGTTATTGCACTGAGAGAATAAAACGCCATCAAAAGTATTTTTATTACAGTGAAATAACATCACAAGTTATTATTGTAACAATAGTTGTGTGATAACAGTAATCAAAAACATTCCACAGAGCATATTATAATGTTATTGCGACATGCTAATGTATGTTACAAAGTTTTTTACAATAAAACGAGTTTTGGAAAAAAAATCTTGATTGTGTTACAGCTTTTCTTTCGAAGCCAGTTTTGCAGAAACGCTAGTTAAAAAAGCCAAATTACAAGTTTGGGGTTAAGATTATACTCCAAACATTAACTATTATTACAGTGATTTCATTCAGAAAACATGTATTACTCAACATTTCTATTCGTGCTAGTAAACACTAAATCCGTGTATTTCATTGCACTAACATTTTGCTGCTTAACCCGCTGTGACACATACATAATCATGTCATGATAAAAAATAATTAAAATAAAATATAGAAAAATGTAGAAAATTGATTGGATTGCAAAGTTCGTTGCGGTGATATAATTTGGTTACAATTTCCTCGAAACGATCGTAAAATGCAATAAAATATTCAAACAATCACAGCTTTTATGCTTGTATTGCAAAACACGTATTTTATTGCAAAACTGGTTGGGTGAAAATGGCAACGGAATTTTGTCATCGCAAAAACGTTTGCAATAAGATTTTCAACATATCATTGTTTTTGCGAATGTAGAAGTGAATATCCGAATTATCACAACGAGTTTGTGGTTAAAATTACTGCAACATTAGAACTTGAATTGTTAAAGTTTAAACAATATTTTTTAAACAAGTCACACTACAATTTAGAAACGGAATTCAGAATGGAGTCAATAACGTATTTATTTAGATCTCTCTCCTAAATTGTTGATCATACAAATATGCTGATACTGCATCAAAATCATGTACATTCATGCATGTTATATTTAACATCTACCATGTATTAACTTTCTATTATTTAAGGAACGATTCCAAAATAATATTTCAAATTTTACTGAAGGTCCTACTAATTTATTTCTTTTTCAGGACTCAAAAACATGCACACGGACGGAAGTGATGTTGGAGAAACCGGATTCCAATTGTTCAGGCCCTTTCCCGCTTTCAATGAAGATTACACAGAAGAAATGCCGTCAACATCCCTACTTTCTCCACTGCTGCTGTCATCATGCACACAAATAAATGACGACCTCAATGAATGGCATGATATATCAAGTACAACTACAATAGATAATGGCGCTTATTCAATTCCAACATATTCTCCGCAGGTCACTCTCCAGGCTGACGATGATTATGTCATTACATCATTGGACGGATATTCTGTTGCGTCAAACGACAATTCTGGATATACAAGTAGTGGCATTTCTTCTCCAGAAGCTTTATCTTCCTCCTACTCTCCAACTGAGTCGCCAGAAACAGTGACAGATGGTATATCAGTTACATCGCGACTAAAATGCGTTCTTATGTCGCGCCAGAAGAAACAGAATAATTTATCAGCGTCCGTACCCAACGAACATTCCACACCTTCATCGGCAATTCATAATTATTCATCCGCTGAAAGAAGAGTTGTTGACAATAAGTTTTCTGATGAAGCAGGTAAATATGAGAAATGTACATCAAAAACTGCTCTACGATTCCCCCCTTGCAGTGTATGTGGTGGAACAGCATCAGGGCTACACTACGGCGTTAATAGTTGTGAGCCATGTAAGGGATTCTTCACAAGATACCTACGGAAGAAAGAGGTTTACAAATGTGCAAAAGATAATAATTGTCCGATAACTAATCGTTTGAGGGGGAATTGTAGTGCGTGTCGGTTGAAAAAATGCTTAGCTCTTGGCATGGCAAGGAAGAATTCAAGACTTGGTCGGTATAGTCTTTCTAGACGAATGGAAACAATTATGCAAGTAAATGAATTAGAAAAACAAAACGACGATCAAGTTAATCAGACACTCATGCAAGATTTTAATGGTAAACATATGAATGAAATGCCAATCATTGACACTGACATTGAAAGTAGAAACTCGGGAAAGATTCAAACTGATCACCAAGAACAAGCGGAACCTGTGAGGAATACTCATTCTGCTTCATTTAAATTAAAAGCTCCCTCTGGGTTTTCATATAAACTTGTGAAGACTTTGGTAGAATATATGGAAAGAATTAAACCTTACGGCGAGGACATTACGTCTAAAGAGCAAATAATGCAGACGCTGCTTTCCCATTACGAATCATATAAGCTGAAAATAGACATCTTCGGTAATCTAAGAAGCGTGCCAAGAGACGAATATTTTAATCTTCTAAAAGGTTTCGGAATAGAAATTGACAAAAGAATGATGTTCCTGAAACAATCTGCCAACGAAATGATGGATATCATTGAGCGATATTGCAATTTTGCGAAACAAATTCCAAATTTTACATGTCTGTCTAACAGAGATCAAACTAACTTGCTGAAATCGTCGCGTTACGATTTCTTCATGATTCTTATGCATGATGGATATTTACATGAAAAACAGGTTTTTCTTGCACATAATGGAGCTGCTTTTCATATGGAGGAAGTTGCTGACAAATTCTTCTCTCGTAAGCTTGTGATTAATGTATGTGATATGTATCACCGTTTACAAAAATTGAAACTGAGTAAAGAAGAAAACGCTCTCCTAATCGCTATATCTCTGGTATTTACTGATCGATGTAGTCTAGAAAACCCCAGTCTTGTTGAACAGATACAATTTTCGCTGACACAGCTTCTTCAAAAACAACTTCAAAGAACTTGCCCTAGTTCGGCTTTAAGAAGATTTACCAAGATAATTGATTGTCTGACAATTATGCGAGAGAGTTCCGAACTGTATCTGAAAGAATACAGCGAACTGTGCCAGGATGAAATGGTTATTGAAGAAGTGCCAATTATGACGGAACTCTTATTCGAAGACTAGAAAATTTTGCCAATGTAAAGTCAAGATTATCAACGTGACTGATTTAGTAAGAGTGTGCGATCGTAGGTATATACGAGGCGTTTTGTGTTTTATTGTACAAATGAACTTTTCCAAAACATTAATAAGTAAAAGTATTTTATCCCAAAAGTTCCACAAGAGACAATTACCGCAATATCGGAAAGAAAGTATCGACAAACGCGAGTTAGATGTATTTATCGAGAAATGGAAAAAGTACGCGTTGAACTTTTCATTTGCTTGGGGATACGGCAGCGAGAAATTGAGAGTTTAGCTGTGTTGTTTAATTACATTTTTAAACGTTGAACTGTCAAGTTATTTTTGAAACAGCTTTGAATGATGATTTTGATTCATATTCCATGTATCGCTTTATTTTATGTAAGAATAAATGTATGATAACTTATCGAAAATCGGATTGAATTCTAATTAAGTAAAGCAAATTGGTTTATTTTTATTTTGTTAAATGAAGAAAGTAAGTTTTTTTAAATAAACTATAAAGACTTACTGACAGTTTTTTCTTACCTATCATCAATTCATATAAATAGTTTATAAAAATTCTTTAAAACATTAATTTTCTAGTTTTCTGGTATAAATAAGAATATTACAGTAAATGAATTCAATTATTTCTGACGCAATTTAATCACATGTGTTAAGTTTCCAATTTTGTTTCGCTTGCAATAAATCAACGGTTGTGCTTACTGAATAAATAAATCTATTTTGTGGTTCCTATAATTGCATTTGAGTTATTTTAATCAACGTTAAGAAATATATCGATACACATTAACGTTTCGAATGTCTAGCGAATCGCACTAGAATATTAATATTATTCAAAACACGTATAAAGTCAATAAAAGATACAACCGCGAATCTGATTAATATCATTTGTGATAAAACCAAATTTATATAACTCGTTTGTCTATTTCCAGTAATTTGAGTTGACATATAAAAAGAAATAATATAATTCTACGAAATAGAACCACGAGAAACCAAATATCTGATTGCGTAATTAATATTTAGAGAAACCAAATATCTGATTGCGTAATTAATATTTTTAGAGCTATTTAGATGTGTTATAGTTACTGTTATGGTGAATGCCTTGCACGATATTTTCGTACATCAACATAGAAAATCAGATTCTTATATAAAATATTGAAAATGATTCGAATTGTATCGCTTACACGCAGACGTGAATTTTCCCATCACTCCCATATGGTTTTTTATTGTTGAGTATAATGATTCATAAGAGGCAAGATTTATCAAAATGTTATCTTTTTTTAAAGATTCTTTATGGTGATGAAAATATCCAATTTTCTGAAATATGTAATATTAAACATGTTTTCATTCAAGTATTATGGAATGAGAAATAGCAAAGCTCATTTCCGTATTGCGCGATGATTATTTTTTTTGAAAATTTGTTTTCGCTATGAAAATAGTAATGGAATTGGTCAAATTGAATACTAAATTATTTGTTGTTGTTTATTTTGCTGAATGGAGTGTAACGGGAATAAATAGTATATTTTCGTTGGAGCAAAACAGAAAATAAACAAGATATTCATCGTAAGACTGATACACTAAATGAAACTCTATCATTGCGACTGATCAAATTCTATTTACATATTGAGATAAATACGTTAAAATCTGGCCTGAAGGTCTAACGGAAATAAAATTTTCCTGGAAAGTGAAGATTGTTTCCTCACGTGCAATAAAACAATAATAAATGGTTAGCATTATAGACTAGCTTTTTGTTGGTCAGTTTATGAAATATCACGAAAAGTACGACATCTCTCACACATGTTTAGCATCGGCTTAAGCAGTTATTCAATGTTCAACATTTAATGTAATGGAAAAATAGAAGTATCATTTCCATGTACTTTATGAAGTATACAAAATACTATAACAATATCTAAAATTGTAGATCTACTTATAGTTTATATATCAAGGGATGTCTCAAATTAGAGACACGCCAAACAACGAAGCAGTTATCTGCGTTATGTGTGATTCATTCGTTGATAACGTATTCTGCTCATAATATCATTGATCACTTATCGTAGAGTCTTGAACAAAGTTAGCTTTTAAAAAAGCTAGTAGCGACTCGCTTCGTAATTGTTTTCCAGGGGTGTGTTTAAATGTAAAAATGACAGTTCTGGTAGCTGAAGAGACTTCAGCGAACATCAAGATAATCTTTAAGTGACATATAAAGTTATGGAAGTCAGTTATCTCAGTTTAACAAAGAGGAATATGAGTATATATGAAGATGCATGGAAACAGATAGAATGAAGTCCCTATGTCTATGCACATTTAATATATGGCCTGTTGACATTGACCAAAATATTTTTAGATAGGTAGTCTCTTATACGAAGTTAAGTTGTAATATGTTATTTAGTATTGGAATGAGTGACAGACAAAGATTTGTACAAGTTCTCAAGGCATTGGTACATACTCAATATTAAAGCTGGAGGCATTGAAGTTTATATCAATAAGACTTACACATATTTTCCCTAAGCATTTTAATAAAAATTATGTCCACTTCATCTTGGTATAACAAATCGATATGATGTAGATACATGAACAAAATTTTAAAGTGGTAAACAAGGCAATACCACATGCCAAATATTTAAGGTTGATGCATTAATAAGGTATAAAGGTGTGCGTATGTATTTCTATATAAGACGTGTCATTGACCTATGTATAGAACAATATAAACAACTATGAAAGAGGACCCCTGTAGTGTTGTTTATGTGCTTTGATTTCAGATATATCATTTAAAGAGAAGCAAAATTACACATTAGGGACAACAGATAAATAGTGATCCCAATTCCTGTTTATGCTCACCAGAGCACAACTTGCTCATAGTGAGCATAAAAGGGAATTATATTGTAAGAGGGCTTGGTATAATGATCATCTCCTGTATAAAGATTAAACGACAATAATCAACACAAATATAATGTATTCCTTTTCCCTATATATCTAATACTATATATATATCCCGGATCCCGGGCGTCCCGGGTCCCTGATCCCGTGATTTCCCCCCATCCTAAATACCGGAAAGAAAAAAAATGACCGGAAAAAAAAAATGCACAGAACCAGATATACACTTATGTTTTATTTATCAAACGAAAGCTTACTACAGAGAAAACAGGTGAAATCGCTTAATCAAAAGTCAGTGTAAATATTATTTATGGAAAAGAATTCATGAAAACAAACATTTTAATCATCATTATATTAATCATCATTATATCTTTGCGCTCAAAGCAATACTTGCTGCTTTTTAAAAATGGCGTGAAAATTGAAGGTTTTTTGACGCTATGTAAGGTTAAACTTGATTGGCTAAATAATTTTGGATTCCAGTCAAGATAGATTAATTTAGTAGAAAGCTGGAAGCCAAGCTTCGATTACATTTTTGGATAGATTTTTAGGTTGTTTCTCAGTAAAATCCTAACGTAATACCGGCTCGCCGTGGCGAGCCGGCAATATGTTAATTTAACGAGCGCCCTATTCACAACATTTTACCTGACCTTTTTAACAAACTTATTGATGATAACAATTTACCACTGGAGGGCGTGGTAAACGGAATTGCAGCACGTCCATTATGAAAGTGCTGACCATAATGTGTCCGTTTAGACTCACGACAAATATTGTTTGTTGTTTTTGTATGGTTTTACGCTGCACCAACACTCTTAAGGTCATAAGGTCATAAGGCAACTTTCCAGCTTTATTGATGGTTACAGATCTCGTGTGCCCTTCTGTGCAGTATTGCACGCAGGAACGGGGACCTGTGTAGGAGCACCGATGTTTCCCTTCTCAAGTTAGTTGGATACCATCCTCCATGTCGGAATGCGAAGGACCTGAAAAAAAAAAAACAATACCTTCAGTATGGGACACTTTTTAACAACTGTCAAACGGTATTCGACACCTGTTGATGTAAAGTAATAAATCTGAAAATAGGAAAATGTTTGGATACAATGAAAATCACAAAAGTATATGGAAATTTCTGACTCGGTTTGATTAAGTCTGTTCCTGTGAGAGTATGTAAAAATACGAAATCTCTCGTAGCCTTTGTACTGGATGACGCCAACAATATCCAAAATTTTTGTACACGATTCATTATCCCGAACGACCAACAAATGTACCATTTTTGAAGTGAATTTTGTGGCAAATTGTCACAACTGCAACGCCATTTTGCAATCTGCTGCTTTAAAGTATAAAATTTGTCTTGGTATACTAACAACAATAGCTTTTTAGACGCATAACTTCAGATTTTCAGAAACAGTCCAACTAGTGGTAACACATATTATTTATTATTAACATATATCATTTATCGAGTTCTTGTACATATAGGATATTTATTATTGGTTACAGTTAATCATCCCAATATTCCATATATCAGGATCAAATGATACTTCATTGTTTGCTGAGCTGATTGGCAAGTCACATTATATCTTCACAATGTAAACAGCAAAGATTCAGTGTACATGCTGCATTATTAGTATTTCTGAATATATCCTGTATGTTTCAATATTGTCGTTTCTTCGATGAAAAAATAAAAGAATGTTAGAATTTAATGTGCCAATTAGAAATATAAGTTTTATAGAAACTCTCGATAAGCCTAGTATACTTTATTTCTAAGCTCTCAGATCAACTTTTTAATTTATAATTATACTTATACATGAATTTAACACAACTTAGTGATTGAAACTTATGTTAATTGGTTATATTCTTTTTAGAAATAAAAGATGTGAACGTCTCTTAGATAAAGTGCAAATTGGGGGGGGGGGGGGGGGATGATAAGAAAAGTCAAGCGACTTCTGTTCATAGCTCTAGAAAATGAAATGCGTCCGGAGTTTATTGATTGTTACGAAGCAGATGTCATATTTGCAATCAAATATCATCTCTACAGGTTGTAATTTGTGTTTGTAATTGAAACAGCTTGCATGTTTGAAGTGATTCTTGAGGTTGAATACAAGAAAGTTAATTTGAATGCAAGAGGGAGGTTATCACACAATAAAATTCACATTGCAAAACGTGTTACTTTGAATACAATTTAAACTTCATGTTTGGAATTTGTGTTAATTTAAGAATCGAATGCCAAAGTAAGATTTAAATTTCAGTTGATGAGACTAAATATGAAAAGCATCGTTACCTGAGGTAATACTTTAGCAGACTTAATTTACACTTGATTTGAAATCATCCGAAAACGATCCTTTTCCATAGGGCGAATACATTGTGATAACAGGCTCAAATACTTTAATTAATTAAGTTTAAAAATCTTGAAAGGATGGTCTCTCGGCAGCATAAACCTCAAAGAAATATATTAAAAAATGCAGGGTTGGTTTTAGTCTGTATATGAGGGATAATGTAAAAATGCAACATCCCTCGGACTGCAGTTTGAGTTGTCTCAATTTTCAACACTTTAAGTACTGGAATCATTAATCCCAAGGACCAGAAAAATATAATAACACTGAAGTGAAGTACGTGGCAACTATTTGCAGCTACCATACGACACATGACACCTGCCGTTGTGAGTTATAAAAATCTCGAAAAAGGGTTATCCCACGGAAGCATTTATCACAACAAATAACATGAAAGTTGTCTTAATTCTATAAAATAATACCGGCACACAACGCCAATTTTACTATCCTAAGTTATCTTTCGGTAAGTTAGATAATGGCTCTATTTCGTCATGAATGTTTTACTTTATTGTCAGGATTAAACTAGTTTTATGACAAAATGTTCATAATATGACGATAGGGATGCCATTATTAAGATAAATATGTCTCAGATTTGCAGCATCAAGTTATCGGTATTTTGTCTATTGGCTGAAAATAATGAAATAAAAGACAATAATATGCAATTATTTCAAAACCATG